CAAATACTCGTATGTGCCAGAAAATTAGAGCATAGTTCACAAACAAAGTTTGACAAAACCAATATGCCCTACATATTATTATAATTTTAAGTTATTCGTCTATATTTCAAGTTGTCATAAGTCCACTGGTGAACACAGATCTCCTACAAGGAATTCTCCAGCACTACTTTAAATTCAAACTCTGAAATCGTGATAATGGTATTAATAAATATAACTCTAGTCCTATATTATCGTCGTCTTAACTTTAAAAGTGCTATTCTCCAATGTAACCTATTTACACCCGTAATAATGGGTCTCCCGTCAGGATTTGCATAATCGCCATAATTACAAGGTAGACTAGCGACCGCAATTCTAGTTAACTCACACCTTTGCCGCTGCCTCCCGTCGCCGACTAGTTTGTTTATTTTAAATCTAGTATAAATGAGATAGTAGTATCGGCGTTTATCGAGGATATTATGGTATATTTTTAACACTTACGAAAAGTACGGTACAAAATTTAGTAATAGGTTCTCTTACATCTTACTCTAATAATTTTGACTGACTGAAACAGCATTAAAAACAATGCCACTACTAGCGTATCAATCATCAAACAGTATGTTCATTCTTTTGATCAATCACACGGCAATGGGAAACACAAACCATTTACATAATACACAAAATAGAAATGAGAACATATCTTTACGTGGTAGTCATGCTGCAGCTATATTAGTAGTATAGTTGTAGCACGAATGGGTCGGCTCGACCGGAGAAGGACCACGCTCTCACAGAATACCGTCGTAAAATAGCAGCTTAATGCTGTTGTATTTCGTATGGTGAATGTAGAGAACAGGACACCCTTTGATGGAAAGGATGCCTCCTTTCTATCTTAGTTCTCACGTGTGCCAACACATTTGCATTTTGATTCGTAATCGAGGATAGATGTAGATGTCTGTGGAACACAGCAACCAATTATAACCAGGTGGACTGTGTGCCCGTTTGTCACCCTTCTCCTGTAAAATAAATCACAGATAATATGAGGAGAACATCATACCATATTGTAACAAACAGTATCTATCATGTTAGATCAAAGGAAAAATTCTTTGTAAGAGACGTTTTACAAATGACTTACGTGAACAATCCCAATGCAAATACCGTGAGGGCTGCATCGAACATATAAAATGCGCCAGGGAAGGTCTCTATAGTTGAAACGTAAATGAAACTCGATGTAGGCATGTATATAGAGGGTGCTATAGCTTCTGTGACACCCATTAATGAGCTTAATTTGGCTGAAAAATAATTTTTGTTATACCTTTTTTTAATGATACCTTTTTTCTATTAGATATTACATGAATAGATTAAGCAGCATATCTTATTATATCTAAAATAGTAAATTAAATAATATCTGAATTAAATATATGCAAATAAACTCAAAATATATTATATTATGTATCAATGAAATTAAGATATATGTATACAGGCAGCAGCGTTTCCTTGATAATGGCTGAAAATTATAAAATCTTATATAATTTATTTAAAAGATAAAGTGAGAGCGAATTTATCAAAAATATGTCAGAGTTAGCAACAGCTTTCAGTGACAATAACTTTGATACAATACAATAATTTATTGTACACCAAGAAAAAAATAACAAAAGAAATAAACAAATATGAGAGAAAAACAAAAGGCGGTCTTATATCTACATAGCAATCTCTTCCACCCAGAAGAATGATTAAATAATATTTAATAACATCAATATTAATCAATCAACTCTAAAAATAAAGAAGCTTTAAAAGTTTGAGTATTAATATGAGATTACTGAAGTAAAAAAAAGTTTGGGAACACAAATGGGGAGATTCTAATTTTTTTTAATGGACCCTGTATGATAATTGGTAACGTTTATCATACAACCCGCAATGATTGACCCAGGGAAGACAGCTACGCCTCACAAGCAAATTTAGTCAAAATAATCTATTTGTAAATCTATGGTGAAGCTGTTTTAAATTACTGAGATTTCTCTGCGGCAAAATTCATTCAATTTCTGAGTAACGAACGGATGATCTCAAAAGATGCATATTCAACTGGAAAATTTGAAATAATTTTCATTAAAAAAATTGCATTTCGATTTATTTATAAAATGTGCAGTTCATTAGAAACTTCTATAATACTAGTACTGTACTGTACTACTATACGATACTGTAGGCATCAAAAATTTGGTAACATTTTCTAGAAATACTATGTACTAATAATATATATAATAATAATGTATGATTTGATACTATTTTTCCGAATATCTTAATAGAAAATGAATCTTAGAAGTGGTAAAGAAATTGTTATGTTTACTCTTTTATATCATTGATTCAAGTACATAATGCACAAATCTACGAAATCGTAGAAACTGTACTTAAAACCAATCAATGAACTCACCAACTTCCTCCGTAGGAACACTTTTCGTAGCAATAGTTCTTACAGCAGTCAATGCAGTGTGACTGAATATGAATATATAATAGTAATGTATGATTTGATACTATTTTTCCGAATATCTTAATAGAAAATGAATCTTAGAAGTGGTAAAGAAATTGTTATGTTTACTCTTTTATATCATTGATTCAAGTACATAATGCACAAATCTACGAAATCGTAGAAACTGTACTTAAAACCAATCAATGAACTCACCAACTTCCTCCGTAGGAACACTTTTCGTAGCAATAGCTCTTACAGCAGTCAACCCAGTGTGACTGAATATGTTAAAAAGTGGCGCTAGATAATACCACTCTCTATTAGGAGCAAAGGCGAAGACCATACATGCTGCTATTCTGCTGACACCAGCCAAAACTCCAATTATACTATCTTGGACGTCCAGTTTTTTACTTAAAACTGTTATGCAGAAGAAAGTTCCTGAAATTTATTTATTACTTATTAATTGCGTTAAAGTTTATATTCCAAAAATAATATGTATCTATACTCAGGATTTTTAATTGGATATTCTTAGAGAATATTTTGTAACATAGTAACAAAATGTATTATCAATATTTTGTTACAAATTGGCCGACAGATATAAATAACTATATAAAAATATTTTCATTATCATAATTTTACTTTTATGTTTTTTATTATTTTCAATGTTGTATGTTATATATTAAATTAAATGCAATACCCCAAATCATAGGAGGTGACATAGCGAAATTAAACAGAAATTGGGAAACGACATCTTCAAATAATTAAAAAGTAACATTGGTAAAATTAAAAGTGACATACCAACCAACCTGGTAAAATTTGAGGCAATCTATGTCAGAGTTCTACGTCTTATCATTAGACTTTAAAAGGCTGTAATTATTAAACAAATGATTGTTATGGATATTAAGTTCATAATCTCTTCTTATTCCCGAGTAAAATTATTTTAGAAATCAGTAGTAAAACCATTATAACATACGCTATTCAATTATCAGTTTCATTAAACAGTATTGATTCATAAAATATATTATAATCAAATTAAGGTTGTGAAACATATTTTGTATATATGCACTGAGATAGCATATCACATCCTTGACCTAGGTTGATAAAATCCGTATAGAGCTAAATTGCGCAGAATACGTAAATGTGCATTTATTAAAGGTCATGGTTCAAAATATATTTGGCGATAACATTAAATCTGTGATACTTTGTAGACGTTTCCATTAATTAAATCTCTTATGCATTAAATTTCCGTGGAATATTAAAAAGCTGTTGTCGTAGCTATTGGTTTTTTTGTCATAGATATATAATTTTTTTTAATATTTTTTAACATTTATGGGACCTTTAAGTAAAAGAGGTACAGATGCGTCGTAAGCTCTGGGAACCCTCAAGCTAATAATTATAATAGCTGGGCAGATAACTTCTGAGGGCCGGATCACAGACGTGAATGTACTATTGCTAGGCAGAAAAGCAGTTCTGTAAAATTTTTTTCCTAGACACAAATAGGGTCCAGTAGAATCGTAAAAAGGTTTGTATGAAATCGCAACGTTAATAAAAAAAAACTTTTATTTTGTACTTACCTATCAAACCCAAAATAGTGTTAATAGCACCATAAATACTGAATTCCACTTCGCTTAAGTTGAATTTTCGTATCGCATATAAATAACTGACTTGCGAGTCACCTGTGAAAAAAATTTAAATTATACGACGTACGAACAAGTTTCTTTGTTATCATGTTCGGTTATTGTCTATGGGGTCATTAACTTGTCTCAATGGAAAACATACAGACTATTGACTCGTATATTATTCATCTATTGATAATCCGACTGTTAACAGAAAATGCAATAACTATACTATACTACAACTGAAGTTAATTATTAATACTTAAACTCGTTTAATTTATGCGTAGGCAGTTATCGAAATAGTAAAAAGGCCGATACTATTCAGCGGTGGATTACGGTAGGCCTTCTTATAATATAAGGATGACTATCATTACAATCAGGTGAACTGTGTGCTCATGCACATAGTCTACCTAAGTGGTCGTTATCGCCCATAGATATCTACATCTATCAAAATGCAGCTACGATGTCAAGTAAAATGATTCTTCAGTTCTTCTAAACTCACCATACGATACATAGCAGCAATATTCTACTGTTTCAACCCCGTTCGAGCTAAACCATTCGTACTGCAGCCATATTATAGCAGCAGCAAGACTCTAACGGATTAAAAAAAGTTGTTAAAACTAAAGCGGAAAAACATAAAATAAAATAGGAATGATATACGTAATATTATTCTTATTTAGTTTTATTTTATGTTTTAAAAAAGCCTTACAGTTATTTACATCAATAGTTCTTCAGTTAACACATGTTCAAGCTATCATATTTCAAAAGGAATCCATTTTTCACGTTTCAATTTATCTTTGACTTACATCTATCCTTGGCTCCGTCCGTGTCGTAACATAAACTTATTATTCCGTGACAAAAGTACAACATATTCGTCCTGAATAAGGTCTGTGTGCAAAATTTTATCTAATATACGTTTTTTTAGTATGCGCTCTTTTTAAACGCAATATTGAAAAAAAACGAGTTGTATGTTCGACGCGTATGTTATTTTTCGACCAACTCCCGTAAACGCCTAAACCGATATAAATGATTCTAGTTATGAAATATTTTACACTTTAAGAGAGGTCATCCATAAATTTAAAGAAAAAATCAATTTTTTAATCATCAACATTCAAACAATCCCCTTTGAGTGGAAAATCCCTTGGGGATGAATATTATAATGTAACTAATTAGACGACATTCTAGTTGTTACTTTGTAAAGTCGTTATATACGGATTTAATAATAATTAAAAAATCCTGTACCAAATATTTATTAAATAAAGAATTGTTTAACAGCACAAAATTAGTAAAGATATTATACTGTATTAAAATATTATATTGGATTAAGTCAGTTATGTATTATAGTATTCTATGGGCATAACCGCACACACCCCTTTCTTATATTTTCCATTACTAAAGCTCTTCAAATACGCTCCTTTTTTTGCTTCTAAATTTGTCGTATTTATTATTAGATACCATAGCTACAAGAGCTCTTTCAGCAATAAGGGGTCGGGCTATAATTTGAGGAAATTTTAAACTGCACAATAACATTACTCTAATATGATTGTTTCTTTTTCAATATCTATAATCTCTATTATAAGTTAATTAACCAAAATATATGCTCAAATTATGGTTCGAATTTTGAGTATTGGCTTCTGTATTCTGCGCAAACAACGATTTTGTGTTAACGTCTTAAGTAATTTGCAAATTTTACTGCTTTTTAAATGTATAGAAGAACCTGTTATTAGCCTTACATCATAATTTTTACAGTACCTTTTCATTGTAAAGCTGTCGGTTTCTTTAATAAATAAAGTAAAATAAAAGTAAAATAAAAATAAAATAAAAATAAAATAAAAATATATAGACAGAAGGATATGACAAAGAAGAAATATAAGACAAAATATTTTTCACGATATTCTTATTTTTTAAAATTTTATTTCATAATTTTGAGGCAGGTATCCTATCGCAGTAACAAAATAAATCGAAAACAAGAAGTTTATAAGTATGAAACAGCCTTGCCATCCTTTGAATTATGTAAGAAATTCTTTAGGAGCTGTCTTTGCGTAATTCTTTCACACTTCATTTCAAATTCTTTCACAATAGATTATACTCATGAGCGATAGTACGAGTATAAAACACAAGTACAATTTTTTTGTCACTTTGTATTTGTCGGATTTCCACAATTCAGTAGATCACAGACTGACGTTGACTGGTAGTATTTCGTCACAAACTATTAAAGGAAAGCCAGAATTCACAAAATGACCCTTACTTACGAGAGAAATTATGTTTCACATGTATATAAAGTGTTCTAATTGAAAACTTATCTGAATATTATTCTTTGAATTTTTGTTAGGAATTCATAAACGTGTAAGGGCTTCACACGTTTATAAACTAATTCAACTGGTGCAATGCTCTTTTTAGTGGTAATTAAATAAGTGAACAAACGTTTAACCCCACAGCCTCTCGAGCATTTATGGCATCAAAACCAGTTTTTTCGATTTCAAGATTCCTTCTTCGGTTATTTGAGAAAATAGTGGTCACTCTCTAAGGGATTTGATACAAATATAGGCGTTACTCTTTAACATAATTTTTGAGGACCGCGTAACTTAGTACTCACTTTATCTTCTATATGGGTTCTAGTGTCAAATTCTAGCAGCAACAAACAAATAAAAATTACAACAAATATAAATAAACGCTTTTTGGATCAGGCTGTGTTGAGAACGTTACTTTGTCACTGACACTACGTGTTTTTACCTCCGGCGTTACATTAGATACGAGTAGGTTGCGACAAGTGAGTGCCTCTGTTTCACGCCAATTTAAATATGTCTCTAGGCAGGACAGATAGCATTCGATTATTCGCTATATGTCGCCATGTTTAAAAGTTAGCCCGGAGAATATTACCTATTTAACAGTCTCAAAATTAAAAGGGTAGCACTGTATTTTTTAATATGTGTAAAAGCATATCATTGATTATCAAATTTAGTGTATTTTCTTACTGGAAGCTAAACTGGTTCATGGTTTCGGTTTAAATTTATTACCATAGTGCGACTATGTTAAAACATTAAAAATACAAATATTTTCATTGCAGCTTACGATCGATACATTTTAATATAAAACAAAGGCTGAAAATTAAGTTAATGTGGCAAAAATTAAATAATTTATACTTGTATTATGTTGGAATAATATAGTAAACATTATTTTAATAAATGTGTGAATTATATTTGAACTCCGAAGATTTTATTGCATTATTTATAATTATATAAAATGTTTAATTATATTATTATTCAATTGAATGCAAATTAATCAATAAAATAAAAAAATATTAGTAATAAGTATAAAAAAAAACCACAAAAATGTGATAATTTTCCTTTCATGTCAAATGTTATCCTGATGATTACCAAAGTGCACTTAACGTTACGAAAGAAAAACACAGTTTGAAACGGTAAATATGCACATTAATTTAAATCCAGCCTACCTAATGCGTTGAATTTTAATTCGTATGTAGCAATTATTAAGGCCACATGCGAAAGTAGACTCGCGAGCAGCAAAGCCATTATACATTTGCTTATAAACATAATGCGACTAATAGTACAAATTATAAAAGGCGTAATGATATAACTGAATGGATATAACACTTACACAAACGCGCGTGCGCACGCCCGTACGCACAACGAACACACGCACGCACGCACATACATACATACACACACACACACACACGCACACGCACACGCACACGCACACGACACACGCACACGCACACGCACACGCACGCGCACACACGCACCACACACACACACACACGCACGCGCACGGCACGCGCACGCGCACGCGCACACACACACAGACACACACAGACACACACAGACACACACAGACACACACAGACACACACACAGACACACACAGACACACACACAGACACACACACAGACACACACACACAGACACACACACAGACACACACACAGACACACACACACACAGACACACACACAGACACACACACAGACACACACACAGACACACACACAGACACACACACAGACACACACACAGACACACACACACACACACACACACACACACACACACACACACACACACACACACACACACACACACAGACAGACACATACACACAGACAGACACACACACACAGACACACACACACACAGACAGACACACACACACACACACGCGCACGCGCACGCACGCACGCACGCACGCACGCACGCACGCACGCACGCACGCACGCACGCACGCACGCACGCACGCACGCACGCACGCACGCACGCACGCACGCACGCACGCACGCACGCACGCACGCACGCACGCACGCACGCACGCACGCACGCACGCACGCACGCACGCACGCACGCACGCACGCACGCACGCACGCACGCACGCACGCACGCACGCACGCACGCACGCACGCACGCACGCACGCACGCACGCACGCACGCACGCACGCACGCACGCACGCACGCACGCACGCACGCACGCACGCACGCACGCACGCACGCACACACACACACACCTACCTACCTACCTACCTACTTTTACCTAGACCTAGTTTTTTCTGAAAGCAACCGCCTACACATACGTTTAGTAATTACTAAATCAAGTAGACTTAAGTTTAACTAACTGCAGCTGGTTGCACCTAGTTGTAACCGATCCCAACAGCTGGATAAAACAAGTGGCAAACTTAAAAATTTTGTATAACCGATTTCATTACGACCGAATCAATGAATTCAAAGTCAATTAAATACGCATTATTGTGACACAGACAGACACAGTATTGGTGATTCTGAGTATCAGGTACGCGACCCTCTTCGACACACTCCCAATCTTTACAACGTTGTTGGCGAGAGACTTGTGGACGATAAATCCGACACCTCCTTGGGACAGATGGTCGCCCTCCCGGTGATAAAACAAGTTGCCGGATTCGAGAATCACCGTGTCCTCCCCCTCTCTTCGGACCTCGGATAATCCTATAATACTCCAGCGCAACTTGTCTATCTCTTCTTCCAACTCCAGGATCTTCTCGTCAGTCCTCAGTGTGCGTGCGTTAAATGTTGCCAGGTCGAGTCGTCGTAGGTGGCAACCGAACCTCCACCGGAGATTCTTAGCATTATATATAGATATATAAATCTATATTTATTTTTATGAACGCTGATGATGATTCTTTTTTTTTCTGCCAACGAAACTGCTACATCTATTGACGATAGTTTTTGTTCCATAACTGATACGCTGGGTGATTTTCTACGTCATACATTTGACCAGTCTAACTCTTCGCTAAATGTGTGTCATATTAATGCACAAAGTGTACCCAGCCACTAATGTGATCTCATTGAAGCCTTTAGTAACGTGAACGTTCATGCCATCCTGATTTCGGAGAGCTGGTTGAAGCCCCATCTTCTTTCAACCACTTACCCCCCTCTCTGGTTTCACTTTGATACGTAACGATCGGGTTGACAAGAGAGGCAACACCACCCGGTGTTGCTATATACCTCCGCAGTGACTTATCTCATAAACGTCTAGCTTCCTCCTCGCCCTTTTACTCCGCATCTGCTGAATTTCTTTTTCTTGAAGTATGTGTGAAGGGAGCTAAAACCGTGCTTGGTGTTGTATATTGTCCCCCCTCTGTTAATTACTTCTCCAGTCTCGAAACGACTCTGGAATCTTTAGGGTCAGGATACTCACATCACATCATCATGGGTGATTTTAATATAAATCTCCTGGCTTCGCACTCATCCCGTTCCTATAAGTTCCTTCAAATAATAGAGTCGGTTGGCCTTCATGTTCTACCTCTACAAGCCACTCACCACAATGCGGACGGGGAGGACACGTGGTTCGATTTGATACTAACCTCAAACCTCACCTTTGTCTCTACTCCTGGTCAACATTATGCGTCTGGTTTCTCCCATCATGATCTCATTTTCCTTTCCTATATCCTGAAACCTCCTAAGCCCTCACCTAAAATCCTGCACTTGCGTAGTTTTGGCCGTATGGATGTAGAGAAGTTGTGTCAGGATGCTTCTAAAATTAACTGGGACACAGTGACAGCCGCTCCCACGGTAGACGAAAAAGTTAGCGCATAATTAATATCATATTAATTAATCTATATAATATGCATGCTCCTATTAAAAAAGTAAAGCTAAAGCGGCTGCCAGCACCTTGGATGACAACAGAGATCCGCGTTGTGATGAGGCGTAGAGACCGAGCCTTTCAGAAATATAGATAAAAGCGGTGTGAGGAAAATTGGTCCAGATGATACGCAACGCAAAACGCCGATATATTCTTAACATCATATCCTCTTCCCCCGCGGATATCTGGAAGTTCCTTGGAACCACGGGTATTGGTAAGAAGTCCCATTCTGAGTTTCAGAGGACAATTTGTTTGGATGATATCAATGAACACTTCTCTTCACATACACCTCTGGTTCACCAAACCAAGTGTTATGTTTATGTGTTCGTCCTAATATCGCTCCTTTCCGCTTTTCTCCAATAGCTACGAATGAGATCAGGAAGGTTATACTCTCCATTAAGTCTAATGCTATTGGTTGTGACAATATCAGTCGCCGTATGATTATTAATATTATAGACCATCTCCTCCCTGCTATTTCCCATATAATTAACTTCTCTCTGGATTCCGGAGTTTTTCTGTCGCTGTGGCGTAAAGTTTACATTATACCTCTCCCAAAAATTTCTAATCCTTCTTTACCTAATCACTTCCGACCTATATCCATTCTTCCCTTTTTATCAAAGGTGCTAGAGGCTTGTGTACACACACAGCTATCTATATCTTCGCGAATAACCTGTTAAGCTCATTACAGTCTGGTTTCAGGCCAGGTCATAGCACTGTTTCCGCGTTCCTCAAAGTCACTGGTGACATTAGGGCAGGCATTGAGGAAACTAAAGTCACAGCACTGGTTTTGGTTGACTTCTCTAACGCCTTTAATGCCATCAGTCACGACATCCTTTTATCAATCCTTTCACTTTCTATGATCTCATCTGAGGCTTTGGAGTGGTTCTCATCTTATATTCGAGGTCGCCAGCAGTCAGTTCGCATTGACGAGTCCTCATCAAGTTGGTGTGACTTGCACGCTGATGTTCCTCAAGGTGGTATTCTATCTCCGTTGTTATTTTCAATATTTATAAATCTCATTACCCCAAATCTTCAGTGTGCGTATCATTTGTATGCTGATGACTTGCAGTTGTACTCACACGCGAAGGTCGACTGTATATCTACAGCAATTGAGTCTCTTAAAAGGGACCTAGAGTATATAAAGAACTGGTCTGACAAGTTTGGTCTTAAAGTTAACCCATCCAAATGTCACGCTATAATAATAGGTAGCCAACGGATGATAAAGAAACTGGATACCACAGCTTTACCACCGATCATTTTAATGGTTTTATTTTATAACTAAGTAATACCGTGAAGGACCTTAGATTTCACATTGACTCCACCTTGAGCTGGCAAACTCAAGTGGCAAATTTTTGTCGGAAAGTGACAGGTATTTTGCGTTATCTCTACCGTCTGAAGAACTTTCTCCCGTCCAGGACCAAGACGATTATTGTGCAGACCTTAATTTTTCCCATTTTTGACTATGGTGAAGTGTGTTATTTTGACCTGAATGCAGAACTCTTGAACAAATATGACCGTCTTCTTAATAACTGCATTCGATTCATTTTTAATCTTCGAAAGTATGATCATGTGTCTACTTATCGTTCTCAACTCAACTGGTTACCCATTCGTCAGCGCCGTAGTCTACGTGCACTCACTACTCTTTACTCTATCTTGATGTCTCCTAATCCTCCATCTTATTTAACTCCTCATTTTCAATCCCCAAAGAGTTTCTAGCTTCTTCAGCCTTTGACTAATTTTGTACAATCATCGTTCTTTGTTCAATCTGTTCTTCTTTGGAACGCTCTTCCTTCCGAAATCAGGAGTGCCAAAACCGGATTTCGTTCAAATCTAAAGTGCGAGAAATGCTCGTCAATAAAATGGCAGAATCAACTTAGCGTTCGTAGTTAGCCGTGTTTAATATTATATTTAATATATATGTGTGTGTGTATGTATGTGTTTATATATATATATATATATATATATATATATATATATATATATATATATATATATACATATATATATATTTATACGCTTAATTATATGTATATATACTTACATAATATATATATATATATATATATATATATATATATATATATATTGTACATACTTACTTCTTATTACACCTACCTCTTTTATCTCTGCACTTCTCTAAGGTAGACTGGTAGATAATGCCTCAGGCATTAAGTCCGCCTATATATATGTGTATATAAAGTAAAATAAATAAATATGGGACTACACGGGAAGCACCAGCTTTCGGATAAAAAAGAATCATCAGAACCGATTTTTCCAGAGAAAAGTTATGAGGTAACCACACGTAAAAAAACATACAGTCGAATTGAATACCTCCACCTTTTTGAAGTCGGTAAAAATAAAATTATTCATCCAATTACCAGAATATTAATCACTTTCATGCATTAACAGGCAAATGTGTGTTGGTACTTAATTAAGTAACACACATTGACATCAACGATGTTGTACATCGTTAATCTAGAACCTGTTCAGTCTTGTCATTGAAACATAGTTTAGGTATTGCAAATGTAATTACGAGATTACGTGTATATTATACGGTTTCATATTTCATCAGATCGATCCCCTACTAGATGTAGTGACCTGGTGACAAATGAATGCAGGTGGCTGAGGACTGTGCTTTGTGCCAATCCTTGAGGAGGCATATGTTCGGCTGTTGGCTTTTGATTTGCAGTATTATTTATATACATAATATAAGAAATTAAATTCCGAGACCTTGATTCGGACAGATTCAGATTCATTTTTTAAATTTAATGTATTCTGAGAATCAAATTTTGTTCCATTAAGTCTTTATTATTTAGCACATAAAATAAAGTTATCGCTGACTTTTTATTGAAATTAATATTTTAAGCTTCTAATTATGCTAATTAAAAAAAAACAATACAAAACATTAAAAAACACAAAGAGGTTCTCTCAATGATCTTATTCTCATACTCTTCATTATTAATTAAAAATCAATTTGAAAAAATGTAGTATTATTAATGACTATCTGAGGTAACTTAGTCACTTTGTCAACCATTATTAGACATTGATTGCAAATAATTTGTTTTTGATATATGTATATAATTACTTAATTTAATTTCTGTGCTTAAACATGATAACTTATCTAATAGAAATGTGTTTGCGTGATACCTACACAAATGTGACGATAACTTATTATTTATAATTTAATATTAAATTACAATGCTTTGATTTAGAAATACATTACTTCTCATTTTAATAATTAACGTATCTGTTTGCAATTCCAGTAAAGCATAACATATCTTTTATAATAAAATATTTATTTTAATAAAATTATAGTGATATCTATCTACTACTCTTCCCTTTATAATGTTTGGTGTATTACCATTCTTTTTTCTATGTGATTCATATATATTTACATATATATATATATATGTATATAAAATAAAAGTAGTGTAATTCTTACCATACAGAGGCCCCACCATGATAATATACAGCAAAATTACTGAAAATATTTGCGTTCTCAAACCAAATGCTCGAGGTCTAACAGCTACCATAGCCGTTTCTGCTACGAGTTTAAAAATTTCCTTTAACTTTTCCTTAAATTTATTATTGCCACTGTAATCACTAATAGCATTGTAGTTTTCTCCTGGTGGTAAAATATCTTCAAGTTTAAACACGCCATACAGAAAAGAAAACGTATGAAGTACTAACAAGAGGGAAAACATGCCATAATAACCCAATACTCTCAGTAAAATCCCACTCAGTGCTGTTCCCGTAGGAGTTCCCAAGCTAACACATATTGTAACCACACCTAATCGAAATGTCCTGTTTTCGATTGTTGTTCTATCAGCCATGAAACTGTACATGCCCATGAAAATAATGATGTAGCTGCCAGTGAACGCAGCCGGTAATGCTTCAATTAACGCTGTCGCTGTTAATGATAACTCATTGAAGTAATATGTAGCAAATAAAAGGCCAATATTGGCAATAATCTCTCCGGTGAAAGGAAATAATATGCATATTTTTCGTTTTTTGGTTTTATCACTCCATGCTCCAATAAAAAGTACCATTATAGCGGGTATTGCTGTTTGTAAAGGGAATTTCCAGGCCACTACTTTAGCCACCGATGACTGAACATTATTTAATTCCTTTTCGAGACCCGTAGTGTTCCGATCTCTGATGCGATCGCATATCTCATCGCTGTATTGTAAATTAACTCTGCATGATTTCTCCAAATGCATATTTTGTACAGCAAGTGACGACAAGGCTGTACACAACATGAAAGTAAACAAACATGGCTCAACTGTTATTTCGCGTATACAATACTTGATGTCCTTCAACACACGCTTCGATTTTTCTCGCCATGTCCTTTCTTGACTGTCAGTAAGACGTATATTTGATTTGGTTAATTCAACAGTGCTGTTAATATTTTCATTACTTGTACTCATATTATAAATTATAATACCGCGATAAAAGTGAGAGTCAGTAAAAGTGATCGTAGTAGGGTATGATATTTGAAACTCACACACAACACTGCTTCGCGATCGCCGCCGGCGCTGGATTGTGACTGCTACACGCTTAATCCGAGGCTTTCCAAGTGTCGTTTCCAAAAACAAGAGATGTAAATATCAGGTTGTAAAATGCAGCGCGATATGAGAGCGCGCCTGTGTACATGAAGCGTACGCATCTCGTTCACGATAACAGAGGTCTTACTACAGTCGATACCACTTTTAACAAATAGGTAATTTTATCTGAGCACCTTGAATTACATATAATCCAACGTTCTTTCCTGTCTCAACGTCTACACTAAATGAACAAATAAATGAAACAACTGTACAAATTTGTGTCATGACAAGTGCTGTTTAAATATCTTTTTATCATTATAGTTCACGCTCGTCACGTATTTCCTTTTAAACTACTGTATTAAATCTTTATATACTCTCTAACTTATATTAATTATTTTGAACAATTAATGTAATCAGTCTACTGATGCTTAAGCAATGACGTAAGATGATAGAGTTATTGACCTCCAGCGAAATCCAGTATCCTTCAGAAGACAGAGTCCATTAGTTTACTTTCTCAAACAAAATATTCGTTCACTTAAGTTTTCTTCGAATTCTTGTTGGTAAGTCCTTGACTTTGCTTTGTTGTACCTTAATAATGATGCTGACTATTTTGTATGATTTTATTAACGTAAAAGTTATCAAGATTAAACTTATATTAGGTAAGTATATTAATCGTAAACTGGTGTGTTTTATCTCTTTCTTTTTACGATTTAGTCATCTAACCAACTCTACATAGTTGGTTGAACTTGGAGATAAATAAATACATAACAATAACCTAGTAGTATAATTATTAATAACATCTAATAACAGTGTTAGCAAAATTGAAACTAAAAACTAGTTATTGAACTATAGTATTTTATGACTTTAATGACTATTGAAGTTAAGTGAAACGAAATGGAAACTTCGCAGGTATTTTTAGAAGCTAATGATATCCACATGAAAAACATGCACATAGACAAATGGAACAGTAGGCACATCACACAACAAAAATGAATACTATTATTCACTAAAACTAATAAATTTGTTAACTCCCCAAGCAGGTCAATCACCTAAATCAGCACATGTTCACAAGTACGACGCATGGGGCAGCCATCGTCTATAGTATTAGAATTAGTCCATTCAAACTTAAAAGCTTTTCGCCAGGCCCCTATCTATGTATGTGCACAACAGAAAAATAATATTCGAACATTTACGATGTTAATAAAATCAAAAAAATTCCAGTGTAGATTCGGTATAATATGTTTTATTCGTAAGTCAAACATAGTCATCCGATCGAATGAATGTAGCATTTAAACCCAACACTCATTGAACCAAAGGTTTAACATAAAGTGAAAATTTGTTGTTCGTAAAGGCATTATTTGTTCTTCTTTAAAAGTATTTTGACCGATTTAAAAAGGGAAGGTTCTTAATTCGACTGTGTGGTTTTTTGTATGTGTAAAGCGACAATTGTGAACTTAACAATTATTCTTTAGCATATAAATATGTAGAAATTATTCCACCCCTATGAGTGGTGAAATAAGGGATGAATTTTAATGGCTTATATAAGTGGCATTGAGGTTGTGATATTCCTAATTTTAATCCAAAATATAAAAAATATTTATTTTTAATAAAAAGTGAAAGTTGATTTCAAACAGAAAACTAAGAAATAAAATAATATCATATTCTGAAGTCGAACCTTCATTCTTATGTGTATAGAATATGTGCTGGCATAGACTTCAGAATGTGAAAATATTTTATTCTTTTCAACAATATAGGTATTGAAAGAATAACTTAGATTAACTTAGATTTGCCTGTTACTCACCACGCAGGGCAGACGGTTAAGTGAGCACAATGCCATTAGCTAATACCTTCGCACTAGTGAAGCTTATCTTCGAGATCACTCTGTTAAATATGGGTTAAACTTCACCAATAATGCAGCCTGTTAATAAAGAAACCCCTGTCAAAGTATGAATGCATTAAAATCGGAATGAAAGCCATCAGGCGCCAGAAACTCTAAAGCGCCTTTATGGTATCTTTTACTTCTGATCCTTGCCAATAACAATCACAGTCACAACCTATCATATCATCAAGTTTAACAAAATATCACCACTGTAGGTGTAGTGTATCGAGTAGCGATCTAAATGAAACGTCCGTACTGCCAGAGAATTGGTTTATTACTGACTCATTATTTCGAAGTACCTGTGCGCATATAACTCATCCCTTCCGCATTCATTTGAGAAACTAATAACACAAAAGTAATTTATAATTTTACAATTTTCTTTTTCATTATAACGGCAGCGAGGGATGCTTTGTTCGGTATCGCCATGTGACGGGGAAGGACCGGGTTTAGTTGCAACAGAAGCAGACTCTGGTTGCTCCCCACCATCCTGTCGAAGGATAATCCCCTCCGCCGAGACACTCTGCCGATCTGCCACCACCGCCTCTACTCTCATTAAAGTTGTCTCACTGCCTTCCCGTGAAGAAGTCTCGACATTAGAATGCGTATTCGTGGATGCTGTGCCGTCTGGCGAAGCGTTATTGTTATTATCCGGCATACCAACGGGGAAAGGTGCAGGGGAGATGGCAATCGCATACTTCAGGTGAAATGCTGATGCACAACATACGTCATTCGCAGTTTCAGGTGTCTTGTCTCTTTCCGTATATCGCAGCATTTGGTCCACGTGTCGCTCGCAAAGACCTTGACCATCAACTGAAACCGTTTACATTCGGTTAATTTCTCCACTTACAATTGTAGCTTTGTTTTGAAACCAAAATGTTACGACGTATAACAACGCGCCCAAACCTTTTCACCAATATTAAATCGCCTTACACTATTAGCACAAGATCTTTGCATGTCAGTATTCGTAGGCGGTAAAATCAAATCCAATCGCGTTCGCGGTTCACTACCGATTTTAATTTTGAGGGTGCTTCACCATCGCTACTGTGAATGCTGCTGCGATATTCGAATAGATATCTTAATAACAATTCATTCATTCTTGCAATTTAAATTATTACTTAAGATACATTTAAGCATTTTCTTACAAGTGCGTACGGAGTTTTCGACTTTACTACAGGGGCGATAAATAGAAGACGTCATATTATATTTTATACCATAAATTTTGCAAAAATTTCGAAATTCATCATTACATATTTTTGAATCGGTATCTGAAACTAATGACTTAGGTAAACCAAAAGTACAAACAAATATTTAAGTTTTTTATTAACATTTTAGTTGACATATTGCTGCACATGTGGAGACAGACATTCGAGCCATTTACTGTAACTATCTACAACGACGAGATACGTGCGGTGTCCGTGTTGCACGTAATCAATGTGCACTAGGCATGTCGATCTAAAATCGATTCTTTGGAGCAAAATAATCGATATTTTAAATCGATTTGGAGCACCGCACTGATTCACTGAATCGATCCAAAACCTCTCGAAACGGACCGATTCATATGACTCAAGAACCAGCGATAAAATTCCCAAACTGGCTGGGGTAAGATACCGCAGTTTTTTATTTAATTTTTTGCTGTTGGGGGACACAAAAACAACAGATCTTATTTGGTTGATAATTTGAACGCAATATATATTTGAATAAAATAAATATTTATGAACGCATCCAACAATATCGAAAAGTTGTAATTTCATTTTCATTTCTACATTTCTAATTCTATTCTTACCTGTGGAATGTTGGTCTAACTTAATCTGTGCTGTGAACAAAACTACATATACACACTACAATTTAATATTATAGCTGTGAACCTGTTTGAACTGTGAAGTTGCGAATTTACTTTATTATCAAAAACATACATACTGTGAGCTGTAAGTACAGACGGAATACTTTTTATATACTTAGATGCTGTAAATAAATATTATATGTTGAAGTTTATAGAGGTTTATAGTAAAGAAATAAGCAGTATTGTGTTCGTGTAGCATTCATTTCAATTTGATAAATAGTGAGTTAATAGATTGAAACAGATGATCGAGAAATGTACGTTGCAGTTTGCCCTTTTGTTAAAGTATTGTTGTTGTGTATAGCCTAAAATGTCAAATAAAAGTGATACATGGAATCACTTTGTAAAAATGGATCGAGATCGAGTGGCGAACCACTCCTAAAACAAGCTTTTCAAGCTTGCTAGGAGTGGTTAAAAGGAATATGAGTAATTTCTATTAATAAGATTACTAATATTTTAATTTCAAAAAATATTAAAGTTCATCTTTTCCATGCGCATGATCGCGGTGAAGTTTTTGGCGAAAAACCAAAAAGTTTTTTGTGCTTTCATGGACTTGGAAAAGGCTTATGACAGAGTGGACAGGGATATGTTATGGCAAACGCTGAACGCATTTAGGTTGAGCGCTGGTTTAATACAGGCATTAAAGTCTCTTTATAGGGACTCGAGTGCTTGTGTTAGAATCAACGGGGTCTACTCGGACTGGTTTGGCATCCATAAAGGTGTCAGACAGGGCTGTGTAGCTTCCCCGTAGCTGTTCAACCTATTTATGGACAGTTGTTTGGAAAATTTGAAAGTTGAAGAATGTGGGTTAAGAATGGGTGAGTTAACCGTCAAATGCCTTTTGTACGCCGATGATCAAGTCATACTTGCGTCGTCGGCGGCCGAGTTGCAAATGATGGTTACATTAATGAACAGATCATTAAAAGAAAGGGGAATTGAAAGTGAACGCAAGTAAGACGAAAGTGATGGTTTTAGAAAGAGAAGAAAGCAAAACGGTATGTGAAATAAGAATAGAAGGAGAGTTAATTGAGCAAGTGGATGGGTTCGTATATTTGGGATGTGTATTCAGCAGGGATGGAAGATATGATAAGGATATTGAACGACGAGTGAATGCAGGAAATAAAGTAAATGGGGCTCTACACTCTATTGTGAAAAGGCAGAATGTGTCAAAAAGGCACGTATAGCAATTCACAATGCTATATTAGTCCCTAATTTAACACATGGTAGTGAAAGTTGAGTGTGGCAGAAGAAGCACGAGAGTAGAATAAATACAGTAGAAATGCTGTCGCTGAGGAGTATGTTAGGGCTGAATCTGAGTGACAGGGTGAGAAACTGTGTGATAAAAGAAGAGTGTGGTTTGCAAGATGATGCAGTCACCAGGATTAAGAAAGCAATGCTTCGATGTTTGGTCATGTAGAAAGAATGAATGCGGAAAGACTGAAAAAGCAAATATATGTTGCAGAACTGAATGGAAGAGTCGGAAAGGGACGTCTTAGGCGGAAGTTTGTCGACCAAATTGGCGATATACTAAAAATGGGCCAAATTTAGAGTACCCTTAACCGACGAGCATGTATGCGTAGGTATATGGATGTGGAAGAGGCAAGAGAGATATGTCAGGATCGTGCTTAATGGAAGTCTGTAGTCTCTGCCAACCCCTCTGAGTGACAGGCGTGAGTGTTTATGTATGTATTAAAGTTCAATTAAAGAAAAAATCGCAAATTCTTGAAATTTCATGTTTGAAAGTGTCGCGATTAATCGAAAATCGATCTTTTAATCCTCGATTTAATCGATAATCGATTCTAGTATCTTCGATTTGAATCGATTCAGAGATCGATTTTTTTAAGAGTGAATCGACATGCCTAATGTGCACGCGCTCCCAGGCGGCGGCCGCGCGGGGCCAAGTCGCGCTGCACGCGATACAGCTCGACACTAATCGGTAATCGCTCGACAGCAGAGTCGATTCCCGGCCACCACATCTTACCGCGCGCTATGCCTTTGTTTTTAACTATTCCTAAATGATCATTATGAAGTTTTTCTAACATACGACCCCTATATATTTTTGGAATGACAATTCTATGACCCCTCATAAGACAACCGTGTTCCACCTCCAAATCTGTTTTACAATTGAAATACGGTTGAATGTATTTACAACGAACTTTCGAGGCCAACCATTACGAACATATTTAATTACCGTTTGCAACGTTTGTCCCGTGTTGTTGCATCTCGTATATCAAACGAAACAGGCAACATCGTATCATCTAAAAAATTAATGAGTAAGGCGTATTTTTGTGATCATCCAATTCCCTTAAGCATTTATCACTATGTGTCCAAAAAATAGTCCGCTTCCACATTCTTATCGCTAGACACGTATTGAATCACATAATTATATGCTGACAAAAATAGGGTGTACCTTTGGAAACGCGATGTTTCCATTACCGAGACTCCATTTTTCTTACCAAATATGGCTAATAAGGGCCGATGATCTGTTTTCAGCACAAATATACATAGTCTGCACTAAAAGTATCGAGAATGGAATATTTCCACTGTTCCTGTCATATTAAAATCTTTTTAATTGAAAACTCCTTGGTTTTAAAAATCGAATACCATTTATTTATTTAAAAAAGATTCTCGGACTTGTCACAAGGTTTTGTCAAACTTGCTTAGTCGTTGAGAAAATGGAATTGACTCGAGAAAATTCAAGAGCGATGATTTATTATGACTCGAAGTGGTTTAACACAAAAACAGTGTGTTGACCGGATGATTTCTGCATTTGGTGATGAAGCCTCATCCAAAACCACAATTTATCGCTGGTTTGCTGAATTTCAACGTGGACGTGTCAAGCTCAGTGATGATCCCCGTCAAGGTCGTCCAAAAACTGCAGTCACCCAAGAAAACGTTGATGCTGTGCTTAAGCTGATTGAGGAAAGTCGACATGTGACATACCGCGAAATTCAGGCAACTTTAGACATTAGCATGAGTCAAATACAAATAATCTTACATGAACAATTAGGTGTAAAAAAGTTGTTTTCCCAATAGATACCGCATTCGCTCTGTGAAGAGCAAAAAGCGGCTCGCGTTAGACTCGCGTCGCGTCAGAACTCTCGAAAGATTCCACGCAGGATCCTCAAATGCTGTATGCAACATCGTATCAGGTGACGAATCCTGGATATACACGTACGAACCCGAAACAAAAAACCAGTCACGAGTTTGGGTGTTCGAAAATGAGTTAAAGCCAACAAAAATTGTTCGTTCACGGAGTGTTGCAAAAAAAATGGTGGCCACGTTTGTCTCTAAAACCGGCCATGTTACGACTATTCCTCTTGAGGGACAAAGAACGGTTAATGCAGAATGGTATGCAAGCATTTGTTTGCCACAGGTCGTTTCTGAACTCCGTAAAGAGAACTGCAACTGCCGCATCATCCTCCATCATGACAATGCGAGTTCTCACACCGCACACAGAACAAAAGAGTTTTTAGAGCAAGAAAACATAGAATTATTAGATCCGCCGTACAGGTCCGACCTAAGCTCTAATGATTTCTATAATTTCCCTAAAATAAAGTATAAATTGCGTGGACAGAGATTTTCATCACCTGAAGAAGCTGTGGACGCCTACAAAACGGCCATTTTGGAGACCCCAACTTCCGAATGGAATGGTTGCTTCAATGATTGGTTCCATTGTATGAAAAAATGTGTCAAATTTCGCGGAGAATACTTCGAAAAGCAATAAATACATTTTTAAATAGTAATGTTGTATCACTTCCTTGATTCCCGAAATTTTCAGTGCCGCCCTCGTATAGAGGATTCCAATCTCGAGTTTTACAAATACCCGAGCTGGCAAAGTTTGTGTTTAAATCTTGTGAGCGTACATTCAGCGTAATCATGTCCAGAAGCAATTAGCCTATTTGGGCTTGTAACTTTATTGTTTCTTTGTTGGATCCACCACACGATGGAAAAAATACAAAAGTGTATAAAAAAAAACTTAAAAAGGAAGTAGTCAAACCAGATTGTCGGCTAAAAACCAGGCTGTAACTGCCCTATTAATTTACCGGAAATTTTCGAAGCTCTGGTAGAAATTGAAGATTCTTCTTTAGCCACAGAATCCAAGTAAGAAGCTGGTTTTCACTACATGCGGTGATGGATTTTATATTTATCCTCAACAATTTGGAATAATATTGTTAGATAAATTAATAGACTGAACGTTGAAATAGAAAAAGAGTATATTATCATTTCCCATTCTGTGGCGATAATGCAAGGTCTTGTTAAGATCTTACAAGAAATGAGAGAAAAACCAATAGAACATTGGTTTCAAGAAGATGCACCTGTATTAGAAAAATTAGACATTTTAACATCGTAATTTTGACACCGATAGGTCCTGTAACGGCACTTTTCAGCACTATATGTTTTTAAACCACATACAGCGCAACGATTGGTAGCCTCTTCTTTACGCCCATTACGATATACACTAGTACTGCCACTGCCACTACTTCCGCTGACATCGGTGGCACGTACATGCATGTCCCTACTACTTCTCCAATGGCTCCCGTCGCTCCGACGACTAGTTTCGCCAGCTGAGTAATATACCTGTTCATCCTTGATGCTAATACTCATTTCACTGCTTACAAAAGCCTTGGCCTCTCTCGTATAGTGCAGTATTGACTACATTAGTTTATAAAGCTTGTAAAGAAAACTGTCCTGCCAGACTTTTTTAAACGCTTTTGCATCATCGAAGAAGGGGGCAACAGTATTAAGGGTTCGTTAATTACATGTGTAAGAGAAACCTTCCAGAATGTATTCCGTTAGGCAATGAATAGGATTTGTGCACGAGTGTATCGGATCTCAATCCAAACTGCTTGTCGGGAAGAAGCTTTTTGGCGAGGACTTATTTTCGGTGGTGATTCAATATGATTCGCTTGTAAATTTTCCCAAGTATGCTAAGGAGACTGATGGGTCTGTAGCTGGAGGCTAAGATTCGTGGTTATTCTAGTTTCGGGATTTTTATAACGTCCGCCTCTTTCCAGGCATTCGGATAGCAATAGATAGATAAATGTGTTTAAAATGTATACTAGGAGGCAGGCAAGTGGCGCAAAGACTCATGATTTTAGCACCTTGCTCCTAACACCTTAGATGCTGATTTCTTTTAAAGACTTTTAATGAGTCCTGTGACTTCATCGACAGTCACGGTGGACTGGAGTATATAAACTCTACCAACAGGTCCTAAGTCTGTCAAATTTGAATATACCAGTGTCAGAGACGCAGGGATAGTTAACCCAGAAGTAAAAACCATTAATTGTGGTAAGACTTATTTTTTTCTGCCTAGAAGTCCACCTGGGTTAGCACAATCAATATATTATAATATTCGACCAGTGGCAGTACATCTTCAGCTGTATTCTGGCTTAAAGCAACATTTCATCTTAGTCATCGGCAGTGAAAATGAATTCAGTGTATTTTTTATTTGGTTGGTATCCATTGGGTGCAGTAGACACATTTTTATTGAAGTAAGGGTGACAAACGACAATACTGTGATGACAGCTGCATGATGGTAGATGTAGCCCATAGTATTCGTTTTTACTTTTTGTAGGCCATTGACCACCTGGACCACAATCCCACCTGGTGGTAAGTGGTGATGCAGCCTTAGATGGTAAATCACACTGACTTAGCATAACAAAATCTATTCACTCTTTCCTTGAAGACGCCCACATTGTATTCGGATGGAAAGATAGACTCCGGCAAATTATTCCACTTCTTCGCTGTACGTATTATCGCATCGCATATCGCATATACGCATCATCTCATTCGGAGACTGCCTGTAGCGTGAGATTCACATGCTCAACCATAACCTCTCTTTCAGACTGGATTTAATCCCGACTGGCCAGGGCACTAGTTTGGTATCTCTCCACAATCACACTATCGTCTGCATACTCATAGATACCAGGCATTAGCAGATCATTTATATGTAACAGGAAGAGAGTTGCGGAGAGAACGGATCCTTAAGAAACACCGGCGTTAATTGCCACAGAATCGGATGAGCAGCCATCGACGATGACCCGGAGAAACCATTCACTCAGAAAGTTCTTTACCTATTCAACCATTCAATCGCCTGACAAGGCCTTCGAGACATCAAGGCAAACAGCAAGTGCTTCCCCACTTTTCTCGAGTGTTCCCACCACGTTCCTCACCCCATACGTGTGAGGCGTACACTAGGAGGTTCCCGGCTGGACGATTTCAGAGAAACCCATATTGCCGGTCACTAAGGAGGTAATTTTGTACTAGGTATGCCATTAAGCGGGCGTTCAATATACGCTCCGTATTCTTGCAGAGTATAGACGTAATTAAAATTGCAGGGTCAGCACGGCTACCTTTTTTTACCACAAGTTGCATTAGCCAGCTTCCAAAATTTGGGCACTATTCCAGTCCTGAATGAGAGGTGGGACAAGCGCGTCAGCACAGAAGACAATCTTGCACATATCTTTAGAACTATAGTCGGTATACCATCAGGTCCACTAGCTATGTTCACGTTTAGACTTCGCAATGTTTTAAGAACCTCTTTGTAGGTGATATGGACCTCTGACATAGAGGTGCCGCAGTGAGTTAATTGAATTGGTACGCTGTTGCCACTGTCCAAACGCGATGTGCAAGCAAAAAGAGAAGCAAATCAATTCGCTTTCCCCTTAGGAGCATGCGCCAGTGAGCCTGTATGAGTGAGATCTGGTTTTACCAGTGGAGGTAGTGTAGACCGACAGAAGTTTGCCTCGACCGCTTTGACGAGAGATCAAATACCTCTACTGCCAGATGGTTTGACAGAAAGCTTTGTACCGATACGTTTAATGCGGTCGAAACTGGATTGCTGTAACACCTTTTTCCAAGACTTGGCGGCTTGGATAAAGGCTTTTTTTCTTAAGGCTAACATCTGAAGCTTTGCGGTCTCGAGCATCAACCCAGGAAGTAGTTAAGGTAAGGATAATTATGCTTGTGCTTTTCAGCACGAGCGCACTCGGCGTTGAACCATGGTTTAGCTTTACCACCAATGGGCACGTCAGCAAAGGCGATAAAATACTCCATCGCTTAACGTATCACATCGGTAATGGTATCCGCGCAGCTCGACGGATCTTCAAACGTAAAGCAGAGCCGTAATATGCAAAAAAATACCGCATCTCATACCAATCTGCTGACTTGTATCACCACAATCGCCGCACACCGTGGAAATCGTACTTGTGTGGGGAAATAACGACACGGATTTCACCAAACAGTGGTGAAAAGT